TAAAACTGAAGAGACAAACGATCTTACAGTCCACTTGATGGTAAGTGGCTCCTGAAGTTCATGGACACCTGCAGCCAACTTGAAACCAGGAATACTACAGATGCGTTCTCACCTCTGAGGACTAAGATGAAATGCCTCTGAACACAGCAGTGCAACCACACATATTTAGTAACAGATACAGGAAACAGGGTAATACCTATCCAGACCAACTGCTAGGTAGAATAGTAATGCTACATTCTATAGTACTAGATTGCCAATCCTCCTGCCAATTGTACTCAATAAGGCAAATCTTAATCTTTACTATACATAACAGCATTTCATTTGATTACCCGTTTGATAAGAAAATTCAGAAGAGATCAAGATCAGTGTTTACGATGCTCGATTTACACGGCAATTTGAGCTTTCCCAAAGCTTCTTATCATTTTGAGCTTTTTGTAGCCTTGTGGAATATTTAGAAACGATGGCAGGGAACCTTACGTTATGTAATGTCCCTTGGGAGGGATAAGAGTCGTAGTGTGGGTTACTACGTGTAATTATAAATATATATACATATTCTTTGGTAACCTCTCTTCCTAGAGGGACCCTCATATAGGGCCGGGGCAGCATCAGAGGTGACGAACTAAGTACACCTCTTTCGCCTTTTTTATTTACAATTTGCTGTAGAGACTATCGGCTCGTTGGGTCCACGTGCGGTGAAATTTCTAAACGAAATATATTCGTGGCTTCTTGTCTTTTCTCACTCAAAACGAGCAAAGAAACGCATTCAGCATTCTTAGTACTATACCCTGGAGAGTAGAACTCTATTATAATTTAATTTAACTTTTATTTAAAGATTAAGGGCGACAAGCAGGCACACAGTTCTGCCGATTGTAAGTTGATGCTGTAGCCCATAGACGTCTACATTTATTCTCAATTCAGAATAAAAAAACCGGACGCCTCACCCCCTCTGAGGACTAAGAAATGCCTTGTTATTAATAAAAAGGGTCTTCGGTTCTCTGCAATCACCATACGAAACACAGCAGTATTATTCTACTCTTTCTCGCTAGTATTCTGTGAGAACCATATTTAGCTGCAGCGTAGCCCTGCCACGTAAAAAAGTACTTTAATTTTTTTAAGTATTATAGTACATATGGTGGTTGGTTTGGAGTGGTTTAATTATGCATCACATCAACAATAATGATTAGTATTAGTTCGTTTTACAGCACACAAAATCATTACAATCATTTTTTTTAAAGTTATGGAATCTTGTTATTGTTAAGTATTTGCCATGCTGTTATTAATTTGCCATATTCGCCACGTTTTGCAAACGATGAAGTAATAGATGCCTTGTGACTTGGTAAAACATTAACTTGGATAACTCACCTATAGAGATGATATTTTTCTTCTTCATCATCAGCCCCTCTAGGATTTGCTTTGATTGTCACACTTTGCAGGCAAATTGATGATCGCAGTACATACGTCTCGCAGTTTTGACACTGCTCATTGTCGCCGGTCCGCATGTTCTACATCTGCACAAACGTTTGAATATGAGAAATAAACGCATATACAAAAAATAGATAATAACAAACGTATGTACGTTTGTTATTATCAATTTTTGTCAAATCAAAATAATTGAATGCCACTTTGGAACATTTTTATCATCCGTCATTTATAGAACTTCTATAAATATAATTAAAAAAGTGAAATGGTGTTTATTATAATTTATTAATTGAAAAGGAGCTGTAATTTTTTATTATCTATATTAACTGTATATTAAGTTATATTGATTAAGACATAAAATACGACTTTATGGGAAAGTAATTTTTAATTATTTAATTTATATTAAAAGAAAATAAAAAACACTTTATAGAAAATTAACTAATTATGATGTAGTCCGCTTACCTAGTTTGAAGAGCGGGAGGCGTTCTTCAAACTAGGTAAGACACATCATTTTATTTTATCACGCGGATCTTAGCTAAATTATTCTTAACATCCTGAATATAATGGATTTCCGCAAACTAACGCCTGATTCTATTAATTGGTTTACTAATTTTAAAATCAAACTTTTTTATGTTTTTTCCTTCGCACCGTAGTAGAAAAGGGTGGAAAGGGAAAATTAAATATTTTTAAATCCAGATACCAGGATTTAGTCGACTTTTGAGTCTAAACCTTACCGTTTTGATGTTTTTTTTTTTATAAGATAGGGTGACAAATGAGCACACAGTCCACCTGATAGTAAGTGGTTGCTGTGGCCCACAGACATCTACATCTATCCTACGATTTAAGATACTAAAGATTACGAATCAAAATGCAGTTGTGTTGTCACCCGTGAGGACTAAGATGGATTGCCTCGTTTCCTGTAAAAAAGGGTCTCCGGTTCTCTACACTCTCCATGCGAAATACAGTAGCATTAAGCTACAATTTGACGCTGGTATTCTGTGAGAGTGTGGTACTTTCCCGATCGAGCCGACCCATTCGTGCTACAACTATACACACTACTAATATAACTGCAGCATGGCTCTGCTACGTATGAATATATATGTTATATTGTATTATGTATTATATATATATATATATATATATATATATATATATATATATATATATATATATATATATATATATATAACGTTGCGTGCAAATATACCGCATCAAAATGTCGTAAAGATTATATTAAAATGTGCCACATTCAACATTCGTTTCCGCCTTTATAACTATTAACTACTGTCCAATCCAATCTCAAAAAAATCAGCTGGTAGCCGATGTAATCGCGTGCTGATGCTTTGCCGTCCCGCTAGGAAAATGGTGAGACCGTTAGAACTGGCGCCAATCGCTGCCTCACGCCGCACATCGCGTGACCCCGTTGCGGCTGTATCTGTTAATTAATTACTGTCTACTGTATACGGACCCTTCTTAATTAATTGAAGTAGTATACTTTATTTTAACGTATGTTACCAGTATACGTTTATGGTCAGTATTTATGAATACGAGTGTAATGTAAGTTAGTAGTTAATGCATGGTGCATGCATGGTGTATATCATGCTTGGCGGTGAAGGTAAACACCGTGAAGGAACCCGCATGTTTGAAGAATAAAATATTTCTAGAATATTTGAAGCCTGCTAACATGGTCTGTAGCAGTGTACGTGCGGAGGACTTATTGCCATAACCCAACCAGAAATGAGAGGAGGTCTATGCCCAGCAGTGGAACGTATAAAGGCTGTAATTTGATTGTAAAGTAACAAATAGTACAAATCAAGTTTAAGAAATAACTATGTAACTTTACACTAGAGTCAACTGAACGTTTCTAACTAACAAACAGGCTCAGCCGGCTGTGCAAGATCCATTTAACTGTACATACTGGTCACTGGCTACTTCCTTAATTGAAGATAGCTTAAAGCTATCTAACTTGCCCTAGCGCCTTCTACTTCTGAGATACCAGTTTTAATATTACCAAGTCACTCATGGAAATACTCACAGATGTCGTTAAATTTATAAACGAACATAAACAATAATACAAATACTTATAATTACCATACAAGAGTTGAAAATGGCTTAATTATTTAATGTAATGAGTATTCCTCTAAAATTTTATAAAGACTTTGCTTTCAAGTCCATTTTTAATGAAGTTATAATTCAATATAAATGTGTAATAAAATATAATATACGTGCGTATAATATTTACAACGTGACAATATATGAAATTATACAAAAAATACCTAAGGAATGACTAACCCTTTGTGTAACTTAATTTTACTTCGGAACTGTCCTTAACTGGATTATATCATTGAGAGATACTTAATGTAATTAATATCTTCCGTATAAGCTGCAATCATATGTATCACGTTGTTAAAGGCTTACAAACATTAAGAGTAATTCAATATATATAAGGAAATACTTTACAGATTACAATATGACTTTTGTATCTATATTTAGAATTCTCCGAGAGATATCAGTAATGTTTATATGGTAACTGCATAAAGTTAGCCAAGTTAGCAGCTCTGGCTAGAAAATTTAGTTTTCTACGAACAGAATTATTATAATAATTATTATCAATTATTGACAAATCAATAAGATATACAAAATATGTTATCATAATAATAAATTTAAAAAAAAACCTATAAAAGCTTAAATCATACAGGCCTATTCCACGCGGTATCGTGCCAAAAACGCTGGCTGCGTTAACGTCGTCAAAACGTCGCCGAATGGCTACTTAGCCTATGGGCGAGAAAAGAACAACCCTCTACCACAAGTGCGACGACAAGTCGTGGATACAGTTTCTTTAGGAACTTTACCGCACGTGTACCACGCCGACCGATAGTCTCTTTAGAAAAAGCATTGATTTATAAACTCAATGAGAAAAAACCACAAATATGCAGTCATCTCTCAAAGACTTATACTTGCGCCACTTACACAAGTCTGTCGCCTTTGATGGCACCCCGGCTCTAAGCAAGACACCCTTGAGATGAGAGGTTAAAAGTATGTCTACTCAAGTAGTATCCCACACTAGGGCTTTACCCCTCTGCCAAGGAACTAAAGTCTCCACGGCTCTAAAAATGAGTAGGCAATTATAGAGACTACAGCTTTTCGGATAACATCGTTAGGGTAGTAGGGTAACCGTGACAGGACAAACTACTAGAACTTATCTTACATGAAATTCTTCATTATTGTCAATATGATTCAACATTAACATAAAGCTACTTTGTGATAATTACGAGTATATACTACTGTTAACATCTACTAAGATTTGTTCTACGAAAGAATGGATATCATGTACCTATTAAACGAATGCAATTTAAAACATAATATGAATAAATATAATAAAATAACATTTTTTATCTACTATTAGTTTTTCCTTATTTATTATCTCAATTGTAATATGTCATAATTATATCTAAGTAAAACTATTTTTCATCTTGTTTCAGATAATACTGCCATCAAGTTTCTACCAATAACAAAAGATGCAATTTCAGTCATAGCAAAAAGTTGAAAATCAAAAGCAGTAGATAGTAACACGGTTAAATATGGGTCCACCTTTGACCACATGGCCTTATAGCCATCCCAGAATAAAAAGGGAGAGAGAAGAGGAACAGGAAGACAGTGTTGAAAGAGTGTTCAGTGATAGTAACATTTACAGAAAGTGTTCAATATTTAATCTCGCTAATAATTTTCGTGTGATATGTTTAAATTTTACGGTTGTTTTAATATTTTTCCAAGTGTTTTTTAATTTACATACGGTAACAGCCGGACCAGTGATACTCAGTCTGGATTATTTACAAGGTAATTTGTATTTTTATTTCTGATCGTTCTAATAATTTATTATAAACGAATATTTAATTATCTATTGAAATTATAAACTATAAGTACGTTAAAATGAATATTACCATTTGTTTAGATTTTTGTTATACTAGGAGATTTTTCTTAGAAAAATAAAAAATAAAAATAATAATTTTGTCAGTGTGTCATATAATTAAGCTATTAGCAAAAGTTCCAATGATAAGAATAATAGATTAGTAAATACGAAAAAATTGTACTTTTAACACAACTACAACTACTCCCTCACTCTTGTATAATTTTCCGCAATGCTCAAGGTGCTCGTGACCTCTGTGGATCACTTTACGGTTAGTATTCTTTATTTACTGAGGTGTAGCAAAAGTATCCCAGACAACCTTGAATGTCCTATTTTGGACGCTTTTGTTATAATTGCTCGTAACTTACGGAGAATCTGCGCGCAGGCCCTTTATAACGTCACAATGTAAAGAATGTCAAGTGATTTTTAATTTCACTTTCTGTCATGTAGGTATTTTTATACATCGTATTCATTTCTAAAACTTTTGTTTGTAATTTTTTCATGTATTTGATCATTTTTCTTTTTTCTACTTGAGGGATATGTATACTTTTTTTCTATTATTATAATATATAATTTTAAGAAAAATAACTAATATTTGTTTCTTTTATTTTTAAATAAGGATATTAAAATATTTTAAAGCAGGAGAACCGAAAGCTAAAGCGTTTAATATTTTGTAACAACTTGAACATATAACTGACAAAACACTTAAAATTGTAACAATAGTAGCTACTCGTAACCAACAAGAAATATAGATTAAAAAGTGAAACCTTTCCAAAATTCATTCATATTATCTTTTAGATATGGCATTAAAATAAAAAATATTTTTTTATAAATATACAATCATTGAACGCATATTTGTTTTCGCTCTAGACAATATCTTTAATTTTGCGTAATCTTGTACGAAAAATAATTTGAAACCTGTATTACACACAACCTGTATTACAATTGTGCAGAAGACCGAAGATTACAATCTGCCACTTTGCCTAGCGTATGTTGACTATGATAGAAAGCCTTTGACTCCGTCGAAATTTGGGTGGTGCTACAGCCCCTTCAGCGATGTCAAGTTGACTGTCGGTATATCGAAGTGCTGAAGTGTTTGTACAGTAGGTCTACGATGCCTATCCAAGTACAGAAGCAGAGTACAAAACCTATCCAACTGCAGAGAGGTGTAAGACGTTATATCCCCGATACTCTTCTCCGCTGCATTGGAAGACGTTTTCAAGCTGCTGGACTGGAAAGGATACGGTATTAACATCAATGGCGAGTACATCACTCGCCTTCGATTTGTAGACGATATAGTCCTTATGGCAGAATCGCTGGAGGAGCTAAGCACTATCCTCACTGACCTCAATAGTGTCTCCCAACGGATAGGTATTAAGACGAACATGAACAAAACAAAAATTATGTGTAACGTCTATGTCACACCCATGCCGAAGTGGATAGGAGCACTAAGCTCGAAGTTGTTGACGAGTATGTTTACCTGGGACGTGTAGTCTGACTAGGTAAGTCCAACTTCGACCGAGAGGTCAATCGACGGATTGAACTCGGCTGGGCAGCATTTGGGAAATTACGACACATCTTCTCGTCAGGTATACCTTAAAGTTGGTTGTAGATTATACAACCAGCGCGTGTTGCCAGTGATGACTTATGGATCTGAGACGTGGTCCTTCACAGCTGACCGTATGAGGACGCTCAAGATCGCTCAGGGAGCTATGGAGAGTGCTATGCTCGGGGTTTCCATTTCCAGGCCTATGTTCAGTAGTGGACTTATGAAGGGCTGCAATGATGATGATGAATGATTATGATGCCATGCGAGTTTATTCGTACAAATTTGCAAACTACAAAAGTAGTTTCAAAAGAATACCAGAGCATTCAAATAAGACTTTATAACTGTAACGTTGTTTTGAACGAACGAACGATGATATTTGTGCTGCTAGCCTTTTACAAGCAGTTAGGCTTTTGCAGGTCCATAGGACTCAGGACTATTTATTTACAAAGGCTAAATAAAAGTGTAGTATTATATTATTATTTACCGTACTGATATTTGAACATTTTTTTAAAGTTTGTCCTTTTAAATAAAATAGATTGATTATTTCTGAATATATAATGGACAACGACATGTACTATTTTCTCTTTGTATGTAAAAGGTATCTACATGTTATATATTCAAATGTTTGTGTTAAGCGCACACTTGTTCAGAAGGGGCAGGTACACACATCAAAATTTCGAAGAAGTATCAACATGTTTGTTCTGCACTTTCACTTCCTTTCTTCGGCGCCGGAGGATTAAACTAGGTCACAATGTGTCATGTGGTATGAGGATTTCTCACCGAAGCTAATTTACTCCCACACAATGCCGCTGCCGCATCTCGCTGAAATTACTTTGATAGTAATGCATGAAGTGTTATATAAATTACGGTTCATTACAAACAAAACCATAATTTTGTGTGAATACTTACGTTTTATACTACAGTCTTAGAGTTTTAAGCTACGCAATTTAATACTTATAATCCTTAACAGTAGCAAGCTTTTATAAAACAGATTTGGTATAGAATCAAAACAGTAGCGGCATAATATATCGTATGAATTTTTGTTTAAAGTAATTTACCGACATAACATTCAAATATATAATATTTATTACCATAATAAAATAATAAAACTGAAAACTTAAATTATCCTAATCCTACTCCTCGTGATATAGTGCCATGATGCTGGCTGCATTTCCGCGCTAAATGGCCTGGCTATACTTAGCCTTTGAACAAAAATGAACCAGCCCTCTTATTACCAGCAGTCCAGTCCAGTCCCGGATACAGTCCCTTATACATAGTTATAATATACTTATGTTTCTTGTATATGTTAGTTTCTTAAAAATTGAAATAAAAATAGGTGATACGTATATAGGTGTTATCCGTAAAAAAAAAAAAATATTGTTTCTTTTGTACCGCTAAGTAACACTCGGTTGCTCGCATGCTACAATATAAACTACTTATACTAAATTTCAGAATACCTACGCCGATGACTTAGAAAGCTAATTATTTAAATATTCTATTAAAAATCGCAAATGAAATAGGGCATATCTTTAATGTTTTTTTTAATTATATCTATTACGTTTTTCCAAAATAATTATAGTAACACGAATGCTTTTTAAAATTCACATATACCAACATAAACACTCACGCCTGTCACACCGAGGGATAGACAGAGACTACGGACTTCCATTTGGCACGACCGTGACACACCTCTCTCGCCTACTTTACGTACATATACCTACGCATACATGCTCGTCGGTTAAGGTTATTCTTAAACTAGACCATCTTCAACTCATCGCTATTTTGGTTGATAAACTTACGTCTAAGGTGTCCCTTCCCGACTCTACCGTTCACTTCTGAAACATATATTTGCTCTGTCATTCTTTCTTCGTTCATTCTTTCTACGTGACCAAACCACTGAAGCATTTTCTGGTAACAACATCATCTTGCAAACAACAATTTTTTCTTGTCACAAACTTCCTCACAATGTCATTCAGATTAAGCCCTAACATACTCCTTAATGTCCGCATTTCTACAGAATTTATTTTACTTTACTGTCTATCTTTATTCTACTCTCGTGCTTCTTCTGCTACACCCCAATTTCATTACCATACATTATATGATAAATTAACACAGCAATGTGAATTGCTATACGGCAGATCCCCATTTACTCTATTTGCTGCGTTTACTCGTCGTTTCATATCCTTATCATATCTACCACCCTTGCTAAATACATATTCCAAGTTCACAAACTTATCCACTCGCTCAACCAACTCCCCTTGTATTCTTATATCAAATATTGTATCACTTTCTTCTTTTTCTAAAACCATCACTTTCGTCTTACTTGCCTTCACTGTGCCCTTTCTTTTAATGACCTGTTTATTAAAGTAAGCATCATTGCCAAATCGGCCACCGACAACGCAAATATAACTTGATCATCGGCGTAAAAAAGGCATTTGATGGCTTACTCACCCATTCTTAACCCAGATTCTTCAACTTTCAAAGTTTCCAAACCATTGTCCATAAACAGGTTAAACAGCCACGGGAAAGCTACTCAGTTCTGCCAAACACCTTTACGGATGCTAAACCAGTCCGAGTAGGTCCCGTTAATCCTGATACAAGCATTAGAGTCACTATATGGAGAATGCCTGTATCAACACAGCGCTCATCCCAAATGAATTCAGTGTTACCCACAACACATCCCTGTCCACTCTGGCATTAGCCTTTTCAATGTCTATGAACCCACATAAAACTTTTTGGTTTTTATCTAAAAACTTTTCTACGATCATTCGCATAGAAAAGACTCGATCCGTGAACCCCATTACCTTTCTAAATCCACTACATGTTCATCACAATTTTTTCCGTCAGTTTCTTTTATAACTCTTTCAATAAATACCTTAGCATACAGTTTTCCCACAATGCTAAGCGGGCTAATTTCAAAATTCCATTGTAATTATTTAATTATATATAGGTACTCATATATTTTATATAGTTTTCTCGTCTAGTTGAGTTATATAAATGTATAAATCATAAGTATCAATAAAAACACATAAATATGTTATTATTATTATAGTTATACATAGTGATATTTGATGTTGTTATTTTTGTAATTTTGGACGTGATGAATGATGAATCACGATAATTTTTTGAAGCAAAAGATTAGAATCTCTTTGAAGATTTTTTAAATTATTTTTATTTTCGCTTCTATCCGAATACGCAACTACTTAATTTTTAATATTTTTTATATATGTATATGCGATTTTTATTAGTTCTGCAAATATTGCCTCTGTTCTTGTGCAATTATATTGTATTCTCATAAGTGTTTTAAGAATTCTCGACCAGATTATTCGTGTAGATCTAATTTTTTATGAATGTTCCTTGGTCCAGCTACTCGTTCTGATAAAAACGCAACTATGTAGGTTAATATGTCAGAATATTCACCTTGGCTTTGCGAATCAAATTCTAACGGTAAATCGTTACTTTAACGTCAAACGGAACAAAATTCGGTCGATTTCTAATTCTATTACAAAGAAATAAACCTTATAGTAAGGAAATAACTATTCCCACCACTTTATTTTCTACCTTAGCTTTCAATTCATATTCCATATTCATTACCTAATGCACTAAGTATTCCTATACCTATGAATGATTGATAATGTCTAGCGTATAGAGTATTTGTTCCCGAAATTTAATATTGAAGTGAGCGTGTTAAAAACTACAGCGTTGAACTCTTTTGTACGGCATTAGTAAAGTGATTGTTAAATTGAATTATTTTTTATTCAATTTGTTTAATATACAAACGTAATTAATTAGAAGTTTATATTACTGATTTCGTTTATAAACAAAGAATATTATTATACTAATTTGTAAGCAAGTCTTTTTAACAAAATAAGTAATTCATTATATGGAGTCCGTTGCTGGACAAAGATCTCTCCAACTTAAAGGTTACGTAGCTTGATAAACGTTCTTGATTATCACGTTTGTCTAGTGACTTCTGTTTATGAGGTCCTGGTTTCGAGTTCCCGTTCGGACCAAAAACTGTTAATGGGATTTTTTGTAAAGAAAAGCCTCGAAAAGCACGTAAAGCCGGTGGTTTTGCACCTGATCTCTTTCTGATCGTGTCGAATTATTAATCCACCGTACGTTGTGCTCACACATACGTGCACTATAATCCCGTAATTCGGACTAGAGTACATTAACTTAATAAATCTTACAAATTGCAATTTATTTGCTGTCTGCCTTTGTTTAAACGACGTATAAAAATGTAAGAAATGTTAGTGACATCTAGCGGTGAATTCAGTAATCATGTTGTTCAAATGAATTATTGTTTTAAAAGTCATGTTTGCGCCCCATTTAATAGTTTTTACAAATTTCGATAGATGGCGGTTATACAAAAAATGTTTTGAAGTCACATAATATTGATTTATCACAATTAGCTTTAGTAGTAATATTTGAGATTTTAAATTCATGGTTAATAATTATTTAAAACAAAAAATAAATAGAGTTAGCACGTAATTGTATACATAAGGATTTAACCTCATTATTATTATACCATACGTATCTTATATTATAGGTATCTTAAAACAGTGACAAAAATGGAAGTCTCAGTAATAATAATTACTATGAATATGATATATAATAATACATTGTATTTTTGTAGTATAATATCGTATGAAATTTAATAAATTACATAAAGAAAGCAAAAAATTTTTAAGTATCTGCTATATCTAATCTATTTTAGAGTTCAGGTCGCTTCGACTAATATCGAAGAAGCTTATAGGGCCTTTTAAATGAGCAAGTTTAAATTATTCATGAAATATAAACTTTTCAAAAAAGTTTAACTTTGTATAATTTGTATAATACAAAAAACACATTGGCTAGCAGACTTTTCTTTTACTGAAGCAAAATTGACAAACTAAAGGTTCGAAACCAGTAACATAATAACCAAAACGAAAGTCATTGTATGAAATATCTCTTCAACGCATTTTTTGTTCTTGTTTCAGGTCCAGTGCCTCTAGCTAGAAATATAAGACACTTGCCATGCATATCAAGACGATCGGGCCAAGAAGGAATGTGCATGTTTGCCATAGACTGCCTCAAAGCAAACGGCACTCATTTAGGAACATGCATTGATCGATTTTATTTTGGTTCATGTTGCCAAGTTCCCGATAAAACTGTGATCCCACAGATAGTTGAAAACAATATTGATGATAACTCAATAGAGGGTGCAAATTTCGTTCATCCGCAGACTGAAGATAAAGATCAAAGCTTTGTAAATAAAATTCCAAGTAACAAAGAAAAAGAAGATATAGAGAAAAAGCCATCTACGGAAAAAGTTACAGAATACAGTACAGAATCGCATGTATCTGAAACGGATGTATTAGAGACCAAGTCAGATGAACAAACAACTCTCGATAATAAAATTGAAATCGAAGGTATTAAATCACCCACAACCTTTACTTCAAATTTGGCTCAAAAACAAACTACAAAGATAAATTCACAGACTTCTGATGTAACAGAAATACCCATGAAATTTTCAACGTTCCAGACAGTATCTGGAGGTATTGGTAATATAGAAACAGAAAAAGTAAAGGATAATGCAACAGAAACTTTTGTTTCGACCACTCAAACAACCTCTAAACCAATTACGCCAACCACTACAATAGCTATCACGAAGCCTTATGTGTCTAGAAAACCAATAAAACCCACATATAAGCCCAGGCCAACATATCGGCCTACAACTAATTTTACAAAACCTCAATACAGTCAATATGAAAAACCACGACCAACAAAACCTCTATCAGTTTTTAACACAACCAGAAAACCTCCATATAAAACGCCACCAAAAAGGCATTCAACTAAAAAACCTTTACCTTCACCGCCGAGATTAAATATAACTATAATAGCTCAATCAACCAGTACACGGCCACTTTTTACTAGACCTTCTGCACCTGCTATAACTTATATTAACACAACCGTTTCAAAAACTGAAGAAGTCTCTACTACAACCACAACAACTCCTAGTACTACAACAACGATGACTACTTCGACAGTTAAAACCACAGCTTTCCCAACTGAACAAGTACCAGAAGTTACTGAGACAACTGTTTCTGAATCTTCACCAACAACAACTTCCTCGACTGAAGTTATAAAAGAAAAATCAACAGAGAAGGGTATAATTATGACAACAGAGGCATCCCAAGATACTGTACCACCTGAACCAGAAAAAGAGGTGATTTTAACCACAGAAACAATAATGGAAAATGATACTGTTAAACTGACCACCAGTTTTGAAACAACTACCGAAATGGCAACGACTACGCCTGAGTTGGTAGCGTCATCAGAATTCCCACCTTTAGTGACCGGGTCAAGCACATTAGATGCGACAACTAAAACGCCTGAAGTTGTTTCTACGTCTTCCGATGGTAAGTAAACATAGATTCCTTTGTTTTTATAACCTATGTCGATAAAACTTCGACTGTTTTCTTAGTTTACTTACCTTAAATTTGTTCCTACTGAGTCCAGTTTATCCAAAAGTCTACCGCCGATCATAGGCTTCAACCATAAATTGTTTTCATATTTGATTGTAGTTTTCAATTATTTTGGGTTGTTATCAGAAAGTTGTTGCTGCACATCTCCTGTGCCGTACCTCTCTGTCGGTCCTGAAGGAAGTAAATATATATTACGAAAAGAGATCTATATCTCCGTACTTTAATCCCACATAGATACTACACATAGGTAATTATTTGAAAAAATACTGTTTGTTTACCTAATACAGCAGCAATGACATATAGCTTTGATACAATTACCTACCTCACATATTGCTCTTAGTCATAAACATCCACTATATATTCATCTAAGATCAACTTCCTCTAAACATAATAATTATTTCTTATTTCTTTTCAAGAATTTCTCTCGTCATTAACGGCGGTGACGCATTGTGGCAATACTTGACAAGTAGTGACTCAGTCAACGGTTGGTTTTAAGATGAATTCATGAATAATTTCGACATCGAATCTTGTTAGTTTCGACAGTTAGAATTTTTTTTAATCATAAAGACAGGTAATCTTTACAACAAAGGTACCTAGTTTTTGTTAAGTTTAAATATTTGTAGATCTGAACTCAATATATTTAAGTAAATTGATTTACACTTTAGATGATTATTGCTTAAAGTTTTTTGTAAGACGGCAACCCGACTTTACAACACCGGACCTATAAAAGCTGGCTCCAACTTTAAGCACATATTTACGTACATACGAGTACATAAACTCTCAAGTTTATCACACAGAGGGGCCGGCAGAGACCACGGGCTTTCATGGAGCACCGTCATGACATACCTCTCTGGCTTCTTCCACATCCATATATTTGCGCATACAAGTTCGCCTGTTTTAACACATAATATATAATAGTGGTTAAGGATACTCTTTATTTGGCCCATCGTCAATATATCAGCAATTTGATCTACCATCAGTGTCTCTTTAGACATATTAGAAAAAATATTTTAAATTCGATAAGCCCATAAATCGCAATATAAGACATTCATGTGTAATGTTCTAGAAACTAATATACTATTATTTAAAACTAATTTCTCAATCAACTGACATTGTGTAACAAAAAAACTTTACCTCATCTACAACTAGCGACATCTGTCTGTGACAAAAGTCTTATTATCCTTAAAATTCAAATAAAGATATTTTAATATATGTATTGGGCAGATCTTAGAATTTACAATATCATGAATTAGTCGATCATTGCTTGAAATTGCGGCACTTCATAAAATTTTACAGTGTTTGTCGACTATATCGTGATATTGCTTGACTAAATCAATGAATAGAGATCGTTTGGCGATATTAACAACTAAAATCGATATTGGTATTTCTAGATATTATTGCTATGTCGTAAAATAATTTCATTACAGCAACGGTGTGTAATGAAAGTGTACCTACTGTTGACAGAAGCAGAAGTTTTAATAGATTCTACATCACTTTATGCCTAATTTATGTATCATATAAATGTTTGCGGCTTTAACGGTTGAACAACGTACGTAACATGTACATATGTAACTGCACTTTTAAATACAAAGTATATTTGACAATGTCAATATGAAATTGGGCTGGATATATTATATCGGACGAGTTGTGAGTCAAACCTTCCACGAAATGGTTCCCACACAACGTTATACGACGATGCGTCAAGCCCAGTCAGAGAAGACGGGATAAACTCGACACCTAAATCGTGAAGAGGGCGTGTCACAAAAACGTGAGACAAAAACGTTTCTAAAAAGAAACGTAGGAGTCTATCGTAGCCATTGGCACTATTTACCGTGATAGGGATGCGGAATGTGTAATTTTTTCGCTCACTTTTTTTTCTTCTTTTTAATAAATTTCTCACTGGTGAGAATCGCGACTCGCTTTATTGGTGCAATCTATTCGTATATCATTCGACAATAAGCATTCCGGTCTTGACCATTAATTTCCCCTTTTGAATAATCCTTTAAACAGCGCTAGATATGTTTGGTCTGCCGAGCTGAATGCTCGCCAAGAGTCTTGAAAAATTGAGCGATGAACCTAAGTAATGCTGCTCCCGAGCGTTAATTTTTAGTACTTAGGTTGGGTTGGTAAAATAAAAATGTTTGCCGCATATGCTTCACTCCGGAGGCTTAACTACTTTTACCCATTTCGTTACCTTGATATCACCGAGGAGCAACTTAACAAATTTGAGCGACTCCAAAATCTCTGTATACGGTTCATATTTGGGCTTCGTAAATAAGACCATGTCTCGGAATACCGCACTAACATCAAGTGGCTCCCAATCAGTCTTCGTCGGAATACTCATATACTTTCTGCGCTCTACTGCAGCTTATTTAATGTATCAAGTCCTCCCTATCTAAAAGAACGTTTTAAATTTTTTAGCTCTTGTCACGATTTAGCTATGTACACTCCTCGACATTTTATGATAAATCTTTTGCTGTTCTTGGAGTAAGATTCTGGAACTCCTTATCCCAGTCAATTAAAATTGCTCAGTCATTAAATGTGTTCAAGTAACAGATTAAGGAACAATGTTTGTCTCTTTAACTCCTCTCTCTTCCTCCTCTTAGTTATGATCATTAATCTACCTAAAGTATGTTGTCATTTTAGTATATAAGTTTGTTTTGTTTTCTAATATAGTGCACCCTACCCGTTAATCTTATTTTTATTTTTATTAATTTCCTCTTCTGGGTTGTCTGGAAGAGATTGCTATGTAGCAATAAGATCGCCTTTTGTTTTTCCCTTACTGTTTTTTCATTATTTGTAATATTTATGTTTCGTTGGTGTACAATAAAGAGTATTGTATTGTTGGGCATTTTCGAATAAAAATATAATCAACCGTTGGACTGGCGGGGCCACGTTCATTAAATAGCAAGTTCCCCGCGTGCAAGGTAGATTAGTATTTGTAGCAAAAAGATAGATCTTAAGTTGTAATGGCATTTGAAATTAATTTACTAATTTTATTTATTTATTTAGTTTAATCACTATCTACCTACATATGACGGAATAAAGTTAGAAAACGTATTATCTTAAATAATCTGCAATGCACGAACTCCGCGATGCCCCACCTTGGCTTGTGATGGATAAACGGCTCACGTATCGGGGTCGCGCATGATCGGAGCCGGGTCAGTCTTGTTGCAGTGCCTCAGTGAAATTGTCCGCCTCACTTTCTTTACAACTGTTACTGGTTACACTGCGCTCGCTGTGAACCTTTGTTGCTTTTTGTATAATATAATACTTTTGAATTTTGATCACTTGCAATTTTATTAACAAATAACACAGCCAATTTAATGATAAAGACAATATTAGAGTAAATGTAACTAAACATAAACTAACTAACATAACTAATAACATACGACCAACTTTCATGCTAGTCACCCAAATAAGTAGGGAAAATCTAGAAATTTCCATTTGACACGATCTATAAGCCTAACTTCTTCTTCTTAAAGTGCTATCTTCTTTCGAAGTTCGGCAATCATTAAGGCAACTTGGATCTTTGATGCCGCGGCTCTGAATAAGGAACGAGTGCTCTTTCCAAACCATTGGCGTAGTTTTTTCAGCCAAGATGTTCTTCTTCGACCCACACTTCGTTTTCCTTGGATCTTGCCCTGTATGATAAGTTGCAGTAGATCGTATTTTCGGTTTCTCATTATGTGGCCGAGATATTCAAGCTTTCTTTTCTTTACTAAATATACAACTTCTGGTTTGTTTCTTTATGCGACTTAGCACTGTTACGTTCTTTATTTTTTCTCTCCAGGTTATCCTTAACATTCTCCTGTATACCCACATTTCGAAGGCTTCAATCTTCTTACAGCTCGAATCTGTGAGGGTCCATGCTTCAACGCCATACAAAAGAATGGAGAAAACATAACAGCGTGCTAATCGTACTCGTATCTGGATGTTCAGCTTTTTATTACACAGAAATGACTTAAGCTTAAAGAAAGCATTACGGGCTTGTTCTATGCGGCACCTTATTTCAAGACTGTGGTCTCCCGTATCATCAACCCAGCATCCCAAATATTTGTATTTGCTAACTTTTTGTAGAGGCTGTCCATTACATAGTAGAGAAGGGTTAGCAGGTGGTGTTTTACAAACTGTCATATATTTGGTTTTCCTGGTGTTGATACTGAGGCCATACGCTGAACTAACAGATTGAATTTTATCTATAAGGATCTGAAGTTCTTCCATTGTAGATGCAATAAGTAGAGTGTCATCAGCATAACGGATATTGTTGATAATCTGACTATTCACTGTGATACCTACATCCACCCGATCCAAAGCTTCACGGAAAATCATCTCTGAGTAAATGTTGAAAAGAATTGGTGAGAGAATACATCCCTGCCGTACTCCACGTAAGATTTCCGAGTCATCTGTTAGTTTGTCCTCTATACGTACATTCGCCGATTGGTTCCAATATAGGTGTTTAATGAACCTTACGTCCTTAGAGTCGAGTCCGATGGATTGTAATATATCAATCATTCTTGCATGCTGTACTCTATCAAATGCTTTTTCATAATCGATAAAACATACAAACACATCTTGATTTATGTCCGGGCATCTCTGTATTAAAACTTGATACCCGAAAAGTGCATCTCTCGTTCCCAAGCCATTGATGAACCCAAACTGTGTTCTTGAAATTAGGTCTTCACTTTTGCTATAAATTCTTTTTATGAATTACTTTAAGGAATAATTTTAGGATATGACTCATTAAGGAGATTGTTCTATATTCGCTGCATTTCTTCGCAGAAGCAACTTTGGGCAAGGTGACAGAGGTGGATTTTAGCCAATCCGATGGTGTGACGCCCGAATCCTAACCACTTTTATATAGTTAGAAAATCGTACTTCATGTTTTTAATTATTAAAGAAACGTTAACGTTACCATAACGTTAACGTTTCGAAAAATTATAAAAGACACTTTAGACAGTCATTTATCATTTTGTTTATTAATTGTTTCCATATAACACTATAAGAATTATTTCGATCTTTTATTTATTTAATATTTTCAATATCTGAAATTTGCGCTTGCACTGGTTTTCATCTTTACTTTAGACAGTCATTTATCATTTTGTTTATTAATTGTTTCCATATAACACTATAAGAATTATTTCGCTCTTTTAACTATTTAATATTTTTCAATATCTAAAATTTTCGCTTGCACTGGTTTTCATCTACGAGAGATTTAACTAATTTCGGTCGAATTTTTTATTTCAAAGTTGGTATTAAATATTTCGATGTTAGTATGACAGTGACCCAGCTATTTTACTCGTGCTAATTAGTTAGCATACAGTGTGATCATATGTTACTGCCATTTTGGCAGGATTGACCTCTTAAACTAAGTTTGTATAAAAAAAGGTTATTATAATATTAAGGAATTCATGGATGATAATAACCCTTGGGAATGAGTTTATCGCTACCAAACCAAGCTATTTATAATTTGTTGTGTTGTTAATTGTGTAATACGCATGATTATAAGCTGTTATTTAAATAAAAAAATTTTTGCGGATCTAAAAATTACTCATTTTTTTAAATAAAAATGTAATTATCATTTTTGTAACTATAGTTGAAAGTGTACTTGGCGCGATGTTCTACAGTAAAATTGTTTTTGTTCGGATATTTTATTCCTTAAAGTAAAGGCATATAGCTCAGATTGTTAAAACATAGGTAATTCTTTTTTACGCTTTTCGTTATGTCAGTTTCGCTCGTTTTCATTTTTATTGCAGCCTATCAAATTCTACAGTAGAACATAGGCCTCCGGATATACTGTCTCATAAGGGGTATATTAGCAACTGTTTGCCACACTTGGTGGTCAGGTTGACAACCGCAGTTTTAATTGTTAAGATGTCCCGATGCCTTCCTCCGTCGCCTCTTACGACACTCACGTGACGATATGGGGTAATGGATATTCGTACACCGTCAATACACGACAGTCACCGTCACTGCACTGTTGTTTTACACGTTTAAAAAACTTAGATATGTTACTAACACTATATACATAGTAGAGCCATGCTGTGGTTATATCAGTAGTATAGTAGTAGCACGAATGGGTCGGCTCGACCGGGGAAGGACCACGCTATCACAGAATACCAGCGTAAAATAGTAGCTTAATGCTGCTGTGTTTCGTATGGTGAGTGTAGAAAACCGGAAACCGTTTTTACAGGAAACAACGCATTCCATCTTAGTCCTCACGGCTGACAACGCATCTGCATTTTGATCCATAATCGAGGATAGATGTAGATGTCTATGGGCCACAGCAACCACTTACCATCAGGTGGACTATGTGCTCGTTTGTCACCCTATCCTATAAAAAAAACACTACTTACATTTGCATTCTGTCAGTCGAGATCACAGTTATGACAAATATAACTGTAGAATTTTCCGATATAAAAATATTTGCACTTGGTATTGGCACAAAAAAAATATTAACGTTGCTTAATTGTCCATTTGACTAAAGTGTTACTTAGCAGATCATAAAACAACTCTACCTGAAGATGTTGTTTAGTTTTGAATATTACCTTGAAGATTTATGGTACAAATCAAAGTCAGTTGTATCATCATCATCATCATCATTACAGCCCTTCACAAGTCCACTGCTGAACATAGGCCTCCCCCAAGCAACGCCACAAAGCACGGTCCTGAGCCACCTGCATCCATCGACTTCCTGCATGTCTTACCAGGTCGTCACTCCATCTAGTGGGGGGTCGCCCTACACTACGCCTACCGGTACGAGGCTGCCACTCGAGAACCTTTCTTCCCCATCGGTTATCGGTTCTTCGAGCTATATGGCCGCCCCATTGCACTTCAGCTTACTAATCCGTTCGGCTATGTCGGTCACTCTGGTTCTACTGCGGATATCCTCATTTCTGAGTCTATCACGCAGAGAAACTCCGAGCATAGCCCTCTCCATAGCTCGCTGAGCAACCTTGAGCGTCCTCATACGGCCAGCGGTGAAGGACCACGTCTCTGATCCGTAAGTCATCACTGGCAACACGCACTGGTTGTACACTTTAGTTTTCAGAGATTTCGTGAAGATGTGTCGTAATTTCCCGAACGCTGCCCAGCCGAGTTGAATCCGTCGATTGACCTCTCGGTCGAATAAGTTGTATATGTTGAACTTTTCTTAAACAAAATATAAATTTAAATCGTATATATATATATACGTCAATGGAGGGCACAGACCTAATTCAACTGTTTAGACACAAATTTTATATACATATTAAGTTTTTCTTAGGTTACACCTTACTACATCTACGAGATGAAATGGGGTAGTCTTACGTTGCCACTATACGACGAACAGCAGCATCTTCCTGACAACAACTTAAAATAATAAAAAAACTTTTTATTCTAATAATTATTATGAATTAAGTATGCCGTATGGTGGCATCGTCAGTAAATCAATTACCACATTTAGTCTTTATTTTTTATAGAATAAGGGTGACAAACGAACACATAGTCCACCTGATAGTAAGTGAATGCTGTAGCCCATAGACATCTACATTTATCCTCGATTAAGAATCAAAACGCAGATGCATTATCACCCTTGAGGACTAATATGGAATGCCTCATTTCCAATAAAAAAGGGTTTCCGGATCTATACACTCACGATACAAAACACAGCAGTATTAAATTGCTATTTTACGCCGTTATTTTGTGAGAGTGTGGTCCTTCCCTGGTCGAGCCGACCCACTCGTGCTACAACCATAATAATAATGTCCTCCAGACCGAATTTCGGTCACGGCGGCCTGCCTCAATGGAGACTAGCCATCGGCGCAGGACAGGATTATACTGCCCAAGTGTATGCGCAAGCACAGGTGCACTCTCTATTCTCTCACTCTTATAATCCGATGGGACGGCAAACCAACACGATCGGAGAGAGATTAGGCGCAGGACCAACGGCTTTACGTGCTTTCCGAGGCACGGGGGTGTGACACCGCCAGTTTTCTGACTGCGGGCAACTATTAAGAATTTCTTGACGGAAAACTCAATAATAAATTTTTTGGCCCGACCCGGGATTCGAACCCAGGACCTCATGATCAGCAGTCACACTACTACAACCACTAGACTAACGAGGAAGTCTACAACCATAATATAACTGCAGCGTGGCTCTACCACGTAGTCACCTTATAAACGACGATTTTGAGATAAGCGACAAAGATCTTATGACTTCTGATAGGTGGCGTTAACCATCTCGTTAACGCCAGCCATAATATATCCAGACCGATGACTGAAAGGAGTATCAAAGTACTGTGATTCTCATTTCACCTGCTAACCGTGAGGATAAAGGCAAATCCTCCCAGTAATAGGAGAGGTCCATGTCCAAGAGTGGACTTTAATGGGTTGATTAAGAAGAAGAAGAATACTTATCAAGTTTTAAAGAACGCCAAATTACAACAGGAATTCTCATGATCTTGACCCGTTTATGGAAACAAAAGCCTCTAATAAACGTAAAATGTTTAAGAGTTTACTGAATAGAACCGAATGAAAGTTCAGTTTAGTAACCACTTACCATCAGGTGAACTGTCGGCTTGTTTATCACTTAAATAAAATATTATGAAAATAGCTTGGAATTGCATAAAATATACTAATAATGCTAGCTGGCCAGGCGGACGTTGTTCTGCCTATTCCAATGACCTTATGTCTTACAAAAATCATTAAATTCGCAATAAAAATATTTAAGTCTATTATCGGGATAAAAAAATAACCTATGTCTCAGGTTGGACCAAACTGTACACAGTGTCAAAAATTTCACTAAAATCAGTTCAGTAGTATAGGAGCTCAGTAAATAGTTCATCGAGGACAAACAATTTGACATGTAATTTTTATATACAAAGATTAATCTAAGTCTTCGCTTTCCTGTATTCAATCTTATGTTCATGTTAGTTCTTCCCGGACAAAGAAAAAAATTATTCTAAAATGTGTTATCTGTAATCTATGTTGAAGAATAATTTATTCTTTTCTATTTAGTGTAGCGCCAAAACTTGGTCGTTGACAATTTTTCAATATTTTTTTAATCCACATTTGAAAATTTAAATCTTTCCAAAAATGCAACAAACAGCGCGTTATTTGCTGGATTTTCTCATACGTGGTAAGATTGACTTATGAACGCAGTAATATCTACTGTCTCAAGTCATGCTGCTTCCTATTATCAGTCTATGCAATTTTGGTGCAAAATGTACGTGTAGATTTTAAAAGATCAGTTGGCCTAGCTTTTTAGATACCTCTACCTTTTAGTCACCTTAATGAATAGCTTAGCTAGTTGAATAGGAGGGTTGTGGAGAATGATGTGTGAAAATAACTCATATTTTACACTTGCCACATATATTGTTAAAATTGATTTTAAAAATATTAACATACTAAATATGAATTGATTTTATTATAAGTTTAATCTGAAATTGTAATATGGTACAACAAAAATTAAAAAGATTGCGAAAAATTAAAAAGATGTTGATTGTGACGTTCATAAGAGCTTTAAACAGACATAAATTGAATAAAATGTTTTGACCTTAACACCAAGTGCAGGAAAAGTCAATTGAGTGTTAAAGATATATTTGGTATATTCCCCTTACCGTCTCCGTCAAATTTTAATTAAATTTTATTTTATTAATCGCCGCCACAAGTAATGTTTTAAATATGTTTTCAGAATTATGGTCCCCAATAACTCCACCGGAAGGTTGGGTACTAATATCTACAATGCAGCCGAAGCCCGAGACAACAGCCTCAAGTCCATCAACTACTTTAACAACAACCTCAACAGCAACTTCAATAACAACTCCAACGGCAACCAAATCATCGCCAATAACTACAATAACAACCCCAACAACAACTACAGCAACTCCAACAACAACCAAAACAACCCCAAGGACAACCACTTCCACCACCACTACTACTAAAACAACAACAAAACCTACTCCTTCAACCACTACAACAACTACAGAACTAACAACTACAATCATCCAAGAAACTTCGCCTACACAATCAGTTCTCTCAGAACTAACTTCACCCATCACTCAATCAACAACAACTCAGCAAACAACTGCGTACGTCTCCCCTAGTTTGTCTCAATCACCAATTATAACAACTATCCCGTCGACAACAGAACCATCAACTACAATATCAACACCAACCTCAACGCCAGAAATCTCAAAAGTGCCAGTACCTCCATCTACATCTGTGCCAATAACTGAAGCACCAATTGTGGAGTTTACTGTGAACGTGACATTGTCACCAACTGTACCGAGCTCTACGTTGAGCGTGGCGGCAGAAAATGCTACCACAACAGCTTCGCCAAGTTACGTTACAGACAGCACTACTTTTGAACCCTCTGAAAATGGTAAGCCTGCACTTTAGATTACTAAAAGTAACATGGTCTGCCATTTCTCTAAATTCCAAATAACGTTAATATATTTATTTAAAAAAAAACTTATAAACCTTGCGATTCTTAAGCATTTTACAAATCAAGCAAATATTTATATAAAATCGCCTATAGTCATCACATCGGTTAATTATAATATTTGTAGAAAATAGTTGTAAATTACTAATTAATACAAATAAATTTATTAAAATTTAATTCACAATTAAATTAACCTTATTTATATTACAAAGTTACGAATAAAGATTGCCGCTACAGAGCATGATCCTGAGTCACCTGCATAAATCCTGCATATATTTTGTTTTGTTGAATGCAGTGTTCATATATAATAATAAGCATTTGATAATATTTTTTATATTTTAATAATATTCATTTTGTTTTCAATTTCAGAAACTACAACTTCGTCGCCAAATGTGACGTCCTCGACAACGCTGAGCACCGACACAATCAACATGTCTGATTATAGAGATGGTTAGCTTATTAATAAAATAAAATTTAAAATAGTATTTAAAAATTTGAAAAGCGGTTGACTGGTAGGCCAACCCTGGAATTTCCCGCTTTTATCGAGCATTAAACGCTCGAAAATCTTCGAATTGGTTGATTTTTGAGCTCCCACTCACGCCTGTCACTCCCACCTGTACATCTACATACATACACGCTTGTCGGTTAAGGGTACCTTTAATCTGACCCATTTTAAATATATCGCCAATTCGGTCGATAAACCTTCGTCTAGGGCGTCACATTTTTCTCTTAACACATAATTTCTCAACCTGTCATTTTAGATTCAGCCCTAACATACTCCTTGACCGCATTTCTACTCTCTCATCGATCGCATTTTGCTCTACTCTCGTACTTCTTCTGCCACATCCAACTTCATGCGTTAAAGTAGGAACTAACAGCAATATAAATTGCCGTTCGTGCCTTTTTGACATATTCTGATTTTTCATATTAGAATGTACATATATCAAATACACAAACTTATCAAGTGGATAAGCTCAACCAACTCCTCTTCTATTCTTATTTCACACAAAGTTTTACTTTCTTCTCTTTCAAAAACCATAACTTTCGTGTTACTTGCGTTGACTTTGCATTCCCTTTTCTTTTAATGACCAGTTAATTAATGTGACCATCATTTACAACTCGGAAGCCGAACCGCAAATATGACTTGATCATCGTCATATTTGCGGTTCGGCAATATATAAAACGCATTTGACGGTTAACTCATCCATTCTTAGCCCATATTCTTCACCTTTCAAAATTTCCAAACAAGCTGTCCATAAATAAGTTGAACAGCCACGACGAAGCTACACAGCCCTGTCTGACACCTTTTTGGATGCCAAACTAGTCCGAGTAGACCCCTTTGATCCTGACAGAATCACTAGAGTTCCTATAAAGAGACCTTAATGTCTGTATAAAACCAGCGCTCAACCTAAATGAGTTCAGTGTTTGCCATAACACGTTCCTGTCCACTCTATCATACGCCTTTTCCAAGTCCATGAACGCACAAAAACCTTTTTGGCTTTTAGCTAAACACTTCTCCGTGATCATGCGCATAGAAGACTTCTCATTCTCTTTCTACATCCCGCTTGCATATCCCAAATTTTTCCATCCGTTTCTTTAATAATTCTTTCAATTAATACCTTAGCATACTTTTTACCCACAAAGCTAAGCGAGTTGGTACCAGGGTAGTTCTTACAGTCCTGCTATGACGCTTTTCCTTTTTTTATATTGGAATTATAACTACTTTACACCAGTCTTCCGGTACCCGCTTTAGTTACAAAATAAATTAAACAAGGTGTAAAACAGGCCTGCTCTCCTCACTAATCTTGGCGTGCTCAGCAGAGCGGAACAGTGTTTCATGCCGGCACACCGCCTGCAACTTTACAAGGCGCAGGTTCGGCTACACATGGAATACTGTTCCCATCTCTGGGCTGGAGCTCCACAGTACCAGCTCCTTCCACTTGACCGCATCCAGCGCAGAGCGGCTCGAATCCTCGACGACCGAATGCTTTCCGATCGGCTCGATTCGTGATGGCGCTGCGAAGAGATGTTGCATCTCTTTGCATTTTCTTTTGCATATACCATGGGGAGTGCTCTGAGGAATTGTTTTGATTATTCCCAGCCGCCAAATTTCGTGAACGCACTACGCGGCAAACATCCCGATACCATCCCCACCATCTGGATGCTTGGCAGTCCACCACTGTACGTTTCACAAGTAGTTTTTTCCGCGTACGACCTCTCTGTGGAATAGTTTACCACCGGCGATTTTTCCGGACCGATACGACCTTCAAGAAAAGAGCTTACTCCTTTCTAAAGGGCCGACAACGCACCTGCAATTCCCCTGGTGTTGCGATTGATCATGGGCGGTAGTAGTCACTTAATATCAGGTGAGCCACGTGCTCGTTTGCCCCCTCTTCCATATAAAAAAAACTATAAAACTGTCCAATTACACCTCACTTGCTCAATATTAAACAAACACTAAGAAATATATGTAAGAAACGTAATAGATTTTGCATCAAATATTAAATAAAAACATTATAATTATTTGTAATCTTTAAAAAAAATTAATTAAAACTGGTTGTTTGCAAAAAACAACAATACATGCTACAACTAATTAGTTGCAAAACAATTTTCTATAGGGTTAACGTATCCTTGCCGTTATCCGGCTGCCTTGATTTCCGTGTACAGTCGTAAACAAAATACGCTGTAAGACACTATAGGGTAACTAAACTACAATTAATAGCAATAATCATCAAGAAACCTCAGTTTGCATTCGCATTTTTATTTTGGTTTTTCATCTATTTTTGACTAAGGAGAAACGTTTGTCATACATTACTTTTTTTAAGTAGCTTCATTTACATATATATACACAAGTTCTAAAATTTACAGTTTTATCGTAATAGATTTAAACTTTAATAGTATAATTATTTTATACCTACATAACAAAATGATTTTGTTAAATGGGTAGAAAATTTAAGAAAATATTTTGATATCATTCCTTATGTAAATTAAATTATAAATAGACTGGCTAATACGTTATAATTTAATACTAAACATTGAAAGTGCTATCCATACAAATCTACTCCGTTTTAGTTTTATATACAGAGCAATGATCTTGTTTTGGGCAAAAAGCAAAATACTCGGCTGTTCCCGTGGATAAATGACGCAGGTAGGTCAAAGAACTCCCAAGCCCCTGACTAAACGACTTCAGG